ACAGGTGTGAGCCACCATGCCCAGCCACCATGCCCAGCCATATGAGCCTTCTTATCTCCTTTTTCTGGTTCTATTCATTTATTCCTGTGAATTTAAGTTACTATTGGAAGTCATTTCCTTATCCAATACAGTGGGTTACAACTCACTTCCTTTTTTTTTTTGAGTTGGAGTCTCACTCTGTCGCCCAGACTGGAGTGCAGTGGCTGCTCACGGCCACCGCAGCCTCGACCTACTGGGCTCCAGTGATCCTTCTGCCTCAGCCTTCCAAGTAGCCGGAATTACAGGCATGCGCTACCACGCCCGGCTGATTTTTTGATTTATTGTAGAGATGAGGTCTCGCTGCCCAGGCGGGTCTTGAACCCGCAGGCTCAGGCAATCCACTCACCTCAGCCTCCCAAAGGCGCGGGATTATAGGCTGAGCCACCGAGGTCGGCTACAACCCACTTCCTTTGTGCTGTAGTCAGGGTCTCACCCAGGCTGGAATGCAGCAGCATGATCATGGCTCACTGCAAACTCCAAGTCCTGGGCTTAAGCAATCCTCCCAGCTAATACTTTATATTTTTTGTAGCGATGAGATGCAGTTGGGTGGCAGCATGAAACCGACTCAAAAAAAAAAAAGGCTAATGCAACAAAAGCTATGTCTTTATTCTTTTGTCTTTATTATTTTTTAGAGACAGGGTCTCATTCTGTTGCTCAGGCTAGAGTGCAGTGGTGAAATCATAGCTCACTGTAGCCTCAAACTCCCGGGCTCAAGTGATCCTCTTACCTTAGCCTCCAGAGTACTAGGACTACAGGTATGCACCACCATGCTTGGCTATTTAAAAAATTTTTTTGTAGAGACAAGGTCTTGCTATGTTACCCAGGCTGGTCTTGAATTCCTGGCCTGAAGCAATCCTCTTGCCTCAACCTCCCAAAACACTGGGATTACAGTCATGAACAACCACACCCAGCCCATTATCCCACTGCCTTCTGTTCTCTACTACTTTGGATGAGAAGTTGGCTGTTGATCTTGTTGGGGTTCTGTTGTAAACGATAATATTTTTCTTTTGCTCCTTTAACACTTTTTCCTTGTCCTTGCCTTTCACCATTTTTTACTATAATGTGTGTTTGTGATCTCTTTGTATTTATCCTCTTGGAGTTTTTGAGTTTTTTAAAAATTAAATTTGGGAAGTTTTTAGTCACTATTTCTTTAAATCTACATTTAAAAATTTTTCTTTTTCTCCTCTCCTTTTAGAACTCCCACTACATGTATGTTGGTGAGCTTAATGGTGTCCCATATTTCTCTGAGACTCTGTACTTTTTAAAAATTATTTATTTTTTTCATTATTTTTTCTCTGGTTTATAATATTATTTTTAGACAAGGACAAAAGGTGGGAGAAATACAAGGATAGAAAATAATTAAATAAAGAATCATTGTGGTGAGCTTGTGATAGGCTCATACCTTCCTGGCATCTTCACCATAATAAAATGCTCATTATCCAAATGTTGATGTTTAGTACGCTGTTGAGAGAATGGGGTGGCTATTAGGTCAGCCTATTTAAATTTCTTTCTCACTTGAAGATGCCTAGACGTCAGAAGAATTCACCTGGGTTCATGTCTACATCCAACTAGTATATCTTTCCACAGGGCAACAGACAGACTGGTCTTGGGAACCCATGACAAGGTATTTGTGCCAAGACCTCCATCTGTTGAGGCACTAACAGGTGCGGATTGAAATGATGCCAGGCTATAGGGACAGTCCAGATCTTGGAGATACCACCTACAAATGCAAATTCCCAGAGGGGTTTTTTTTTTTTTTTCAGGTGGAGTTTCACTCTGCAGCCCTGGCTGGAGTGCAGTGGCGCACTCACAGCCAACCCAGTGTCGACCTGCTGGGCTCTGGCTATCCTTCCACCTTAGCCTTGCAAGTAGCCAGAACTATAGGCCTGCGCTACCACGCCAGGCTAATTTTTGATTTATTGTAGAGACAAGGTCTCGCCAAATTGCCTGGTCTGGTCTTGAACCCATGGGCTCAGGCAATCTACTTGCCTCAGCCTCCCAAGGTGCTGGGATTAGAGGCTGAGCCACCGAGCCCAGCAGGGAAGTTTTTTTTTATGCCAGCTGCTCCAGTCGCTCTTCTAGGCACTGGGACACAGAGATAGTCAAGAAGATCAGATCTCTGCTCTTGTGGATTTCACATTCTAGCATGGGAGACAGACTGCAAATCAACAAATGAAGCGAATTATCAGAGTAATGTCAGATAATGTACATACATAAACTATGATAACTTGGGTGGTTATTTTATATTGGGCTCACAAGAAAGTCCTCGTGTGAGGAAGTGACAGCTCAACTAAAATTATAAGCGCCTTCTAGACATAATATGAAGGAACTGAAAGGTGAGAATGAACTGATTCATTGGAGGAACAGGTAGGTTGTGACTGGAGTGTAGTAAGCAAGAGGGAAAAAGAAGTCTGAGAGGCAGCCAGGGGCTAGGCCTTGTAGGACTTTGCAAACTCAAGTTATGGAGGTTGGATTTTATTCTAGATTTGATGGGTCGCTATTTGAGTGTTAAGCAGAAGTGTGATGTGATCTGATTCACATTTAAAAATCACTATAGTTGTCTTTTGCAAGACAAATTATATAGAGGTTAGAATAAAAGCTAGGGAATTACTTATGAGGTGTTTGTAGCACTTCATGCAAAGAAGTTAGTGACTGGGGGTGGTGACTGGAGATAGAGAGAAGGAAATGGATGCGGGCTATGAGTGGGACTTGCTAATAAATTGGATGTAGGGAATGAAGAGGAAATAAGGAATAATTTCTTATTTGCCTTGTGCACATGGGTGGGCAACAGTGCCATTTACTGAACTAGAAAAGAATGGGCTTCAGGCCGGGTGCAGTGGCTCGTCTGTTGTAATCCCAGCACTTTGAGAAGTTGAGGTGAGGGGATTGCCTGAGCCCACAGGTTCGAGAAAAGCCTGGGAAGCTTGGCGAGACTTCATCTCTACAATAAATAAAAAAAATTAGCCAGGCCTGGTAGTGTGCATCTGTAGTTCTGGCTACTTGGAAGGCTGAGGTGGAAGGATCGCCTGAGCCCAGTGGATCGACACTGGGGTGGCCGTGAGCGTGCCACTGCACTCCAGCCTGGGCAACAGAGTGAGACGTGAGACTCGAGACTCCAACTCAAAAAAAAAAAAAAAAGAATGGGCTTCAATAAGCAAGGAGTTTGGTGGAGAATGGGAAGATATACCACAAGTTCTGTTTCGATAAAGGTGGAAATACCTACTGGTATTCTGAGTACTAATATTAAGCAAGCAGTTGGGTAAACCAGTTTGGAATTATAGGACGTGGAATGGGATCATTTGTTTTCAGCCAGACAGAGCCAACAGTGAGGGAGGAGGCCTCTCAGAGAGAAAGTTTCAGGCAATCCAAGGGAAAACTGTTTCAACAAGGCGTTGAAATGTGCCAACAGGCCCAGATTCCATTCCCCAGGCATGGTTTACATCACCTCTCTGAATTTTATTCTGTACCTGTAAAATGGCAATAATATCCAGTATAGGGGGTTAAAGTGAGGCTAGAGATAAGGCGTATAAAGAGGTAGCACCATCCTCAGCACATACAAGGCATTCAACAAGCAGCAACTACCAGGACCATCATCACCTCTAGTTAGGTAAGAACTGACCTTGTTCCTAGACAAATAGTAAGAGCCAAACTGGCTATATTTTCTCTAAGGAAGATACATTTTGGAAGGAGAGCTCTTTAAGATTATGCCGTAGTCTTTACTTACTGTGCTTCAGTAAGTCCCCTTGAAAACAGCATAGGTCACGATCACATATCAGGAAACAGTTTTCTGTGCCTAGCTCTTTCTACAAATGCTATTTACTCTGCTTAAATAAGGCAAGACATTTAATATGACTTTTTTTTAGAGCCTCAAATGATGCCATACAAACCATCAAAGTATTAGGTGCCTCCTTTTTGAGACACACACACACACAAAACCAGTCTTAGCAACTCGAGTTACAGGAAGAATTTCAAACTTTCAAAAAATTTAGGTTACCTTCTAAATATTAACATAACAATGAAACAATAACAGTAAACATTTATGGAAGGCTTATCATAAGCCAGAAAGTACTGTGCTGATTGTAGATCTATAAACTCATTAAATCCCCCAACAATCCTGTAAGGGTGGGAATAATATTATCCCTGTATCATCTTCCTCAGCAGATCAGCTTTAAATCAGAGAGAGAGTTAGCCTATTAGAATTGGACTGCTAGGTATCCTAGTGCCTTTTTCCTGAGAGGTATGAAATAGCGGCTCAATGAATTAGTTGAAGGTTAGTTAAAGAATTAATCCAAGGTATTGGTGATAAAAGGCATTTTCTTTTGCTTTTTATATTACAATTTGTCTTTAGCAGATGAGCATGATAGAGCTTCAGCCTCAGCTTCCACCACCTCACAATACCTGGTTGAGCATTGTGAAGAAGGGAAATAACAAACAAAATAATGAAATTGCATAGAATCAGCACTGTTACCAGATGATCTTTTCTGCAGTATTTTATCCATTAAATACATCATTACTGGCCAGGCACAGTGGCTCAAGCATGTAATTCCAGCACTCTGGGAGGCTAAGACAAGAGGATTGCCTGATTCCAGGGGTTTGAGACCAGCCTGGGCAACTTGATGAGACTTCGTCTCTACAATAAATCCAAAAATTGGCCAGGCATGGTGTTGTGCGCCTGTAGTTCCACCTACTTGGAAGGCTGACGTGGAAGGATTGCCTGAGCCCAGCAAGTTGAGGCTGCTATGGCCGTGAGTGCCACTGCATTCCAGCCTGGGCAACAGAGTGAGACTCCAACTCAACAAAACAAAACAAAACAAAACAAAAACATCTTTACCAGCATACCCTCATTTAAAACTTAAACATTTCACCTTGTAATAGAGCTAATTTTCCTTGAAAACCTGTGGAATCTAGATCCAATCTTGACTTTTTCTGAGATGAAATGATTCAGACAAAGAGACATTCCAAACAACTTTTGTAATTGATGTTTATTTTAATCAAAGAAATGTGAATTCAGAATTAACGTAAAGTAAAACCTTCAAGTATCTGGCAAAAGAAACACTATTAAGAGTGTGAGTAAAATGTTGTGGTACCAGTGCTATGAGTTACAGACAAGACATTAATAAAATAAAAAGCATATTCTGAAGAAATTCAAATTCTGATAAATTCTGGTTTGTAACAATCAATTCAGTGGTACAGTCCCCCCAGGGGAGAAGCAATTTGCCTTTTTATCATCAGTTAAAAAATCCAAAGAGCACATTTTCCTCTTCCAGTGGTGACAATTACAGCACTGTTTACATGTATAAACCCAAGCCATTTTATCAAAGAATATACTAATCTACAACAAAATTATGGTATTTAACAGAGCTTACATATAATTTACTACAAGACATTTTCTTTAGAAAATAACAACAGTATAATATTTCCACCATATCAAATAATTGAAACAAATATAAACTGGAACAAAATTTCCAAACAGAAGTTCAAAAACTTTGACAAAGCCATATAAATAGCATCATAATATCTAGCTTCATTTACCAGCTAAAACACTCACTAAAAAGAATAACTTCTGTATGTATAAACTGAGTGTAATACTTCAGCATTTCAATAGAAATTGCTATTCTGTCCTGCATTATCAAAGTTTGTTCTCTGAATAATTCAAAGAAATTTCAATTGTAAGGCAAATGAAGACTAAAACATAGAAACAGTGCATCTTAAAGTTTTTTATAGACCTACATGTAACTTCCAAACACATAATTTATTATATGCTTATGGTTTGGAACAAATTTTCCCTGAGCACTCTTTCTGCCTGGTTAGAAAAATTGAAACATGATCTATAAAATATAATTTTATTTTGATTTTTCTTGAATATATGTAATTTTTCACCCATCTAATGTATTTGGAAATTTTTTAGACATTTCTAAAGTAAACAGCAATTAAAACAGTTTTAAGGGGCTATCTGAAGAGCTACAGAAATATGGTTGGGTCTTACAGCCCTGAAAACTACAGTATGGTGGGTGTCTCATAAAAATGAAATGACTTAATATCCTAAACCTATACCAGATTTAGAATGGCACTAGTTTCACAAAGGAAAGAGGTAATAATCAGTAATTCCAGCTCAGACGACCAACAGATAAACATTGAAAACTGAAAGGAAAAAAAAATGTTGGATTAACATTGTACTTTCCATGGAATAATGCTGAAGAAAATTAACCCTTCTGCTCAGCACAGTACTGAAATACCTCATCTTGAAACTTTATTTAATGCAATCTTGAGAGCTGTTACTCCTTAATATTCATGCAGACTTAAATTAGCATCATTGGGAATTCCATCATATGAACTGCAGTTCTCAATACTATCCCAGATTTCCAGCCCTAAAAACACACTACAATCAGTGCACATGCATGGTGACACTACCAGTGTGTTCCTCTAACTTTTAAGGTCTTAAAAAAAACTTAGCTACTTAATAGTTTAGGCTCTTCTTTTTCAAACAAGTAAAGAAAATCAAATATTGGGAATCTTAACTGTGCAAATTTATAAATAATTGTTTTCTACATAGTCTAGAATCATACTAAAGAAAATCAGATTTAAGAAGTTTCATATTTACAATTCAATTTTCATAAAACCTAACTATATAGTTCTTTTAGCATTATGATTTATGTGGCTTACAAGAATAATTAGTAACTTAAAACATTTAGAAATCATCAATCTGAAGATCTTCAAAAATGATCAATTTCGGATGTCCAGGAGTGTGCCTTCTGTCTTTTTAGTTATATTTTAAGGTGCTTTATGCAGGACGTCCTTGACCAAAACGACTTTTAGACCTGGATTTTTTTAAACAGAAAAGAAGGTCAGGGTTGCTTCTAAAACAACAGGAAGTTGCTTCTCCTGGAATGAGATGTATTTTGGAATTTATTTTTTTAATTTCTGAGAGATTAATATGGTATGTATATTGTATATTATGGACCTGGAGCAGTGGCCCATAATCAAACACATCAGTGTTTTTTTTAGTGAAACAAATGAACCTTTACATTAAGCGGGGTAAATAAAAAAATATAAGCCACATCATAGCAACTCAGTTCATGTCTGAATTGTCACAAATGTATGAAAAAAACTCTTGCCTTTAGGAGCTTTTTGGATTTCAGAATTATAGGTAAGGCATTAGGATCTTTAATATTAATGTCAAATCTCAGTAATGTTAATCTCTAGCTGAAAATCTGTGATATAAAATGATATAAGACCTACCAGTTAGACAAAATGAGGAATGGTAAAGACTTCAGTGATTTATATAAAATAATAATAATCTACAAACAGTACAACAATTCTGCTACTTCACAGTAACACTATGGCTACATTTTTATCAGGAGTTGATTCAGAACAAAGTCAGTCTAAGAAACAAAAACAAACAAATAAAAAAACCCAAGAAACCCTATACTTAGCCGGGCTCGGTGGCTCAGCCTGTAATCCCGCACCTTTGGGAGGCTGAGGTGAGTGGACTGCCTGAGCCCGCGGGTTCGAGACCTGCCTGGGCAGCGAGACCTCATCTCTACAATAAATACAAAATTAGCCGGGCGTGGTAGCGCATGCCTGTAATTCCAGCTACTCGGAAGGCTGAGGTGGAACGATCGCTGGATCCCTTTTAGTCTAGGCTGCTCTGGTTGAAACTGGCCACTGCATCCAATCTGGGTGACACAGTGAGACTCCAACTCAAAAAAAAAAAAAAAAGAAAACAAACAAACAAAAACAAAACCCTATACTTTCATTAGATGTTTGTGCTCATGATCTTTTAAAATCTTAACTTGTAAGTTAAGATCTGGTTCTGTTTAATGCCTTGATAATCTAATCCTTATAAACAAAACATAAAACTAGACTCAATTATATGCTTCTTGTATTCATATGATTTACCAAAAAACAAAAAACAAAAAAAATCTCACTTCAAAGCCAGTGTGTCATTCTGATTTAGTATATACTGACTTACCTTGTGTTCTTCTCTGAGCTGCTTTGCCGTGCACTAGCTGGCACTGAGGCCTTGATTTGTGCTTCAAGCCTGGAATAAATACCTCCTGCAAACTGCAAAATAAAGAAGCAAAATTAAGTTATCTTCATGGAATCAATAGGAACTCTGACTTATTAAAATGGGATTACTTTTTAATTAATTACTATATTTATATTTATTTATTTTTAAGTTAGGGATCTCACTCTGTTGCCCAGACTGGAGTACAGTGCCACTATCATGGCTCACTGCAGCCTCAACCTCCTGGGCTCAAGTGATCCTTCCATCTTAGCCTCCTGAGTAGCTGGGACTACAGGTGCACATCACCACACCAGCTAATTTTTTGATTTCTGTAGAGATGAAGTCTTGCTATATTGCTCAGGCTGGTCTCAAACTCCTGGGCTCAGGTGATCCTCCTACCTCGGCCTCCCAAAGTGCATGGCTTACATGTGTTAGCCACCAAGCCCAGCTTACTTTTTAATTTAGAAGTCTTTTTTATTTTTAGTTTTGGAGTTAGAGTCTCACTCCTTTGCCCACGCTGAAGTGTAGTGGCACACTTATGCTATTGCAGCCTCAACCTGCTGGGCTCAGGTGATCCTTCCACCTCAGCCTTCCAAGTAGGTGGATCTACAGGCGCATGCTACCACCAGAAATTCTTGATTTTTTGTAGAGATGAAGGCTTGCCAAGCTGCCCAGACTGGCCTTGAACCCCTTGCCTCAGGCAAGCCTCTTGACTCAGCCTCCCAAAGTGCTGAGAATACAGGTGTGAGCCATTGTTTCCAGCCAGAAGTAATTTTGATTTTTAAAATCCAGTCTTTTTGAGGTATAATTTACACAGAGTAAAATTTACCAATTTAGTGTACAGTTCCAGGTCTTGATAAATGCCCATAGTTATGAATTCATTGTTACAATGAAGACATAGAATAGTACTACCAGAAAATTCCCTCGTGCCCCTCTTAAGTCAATCCATCTACCACTACCAATTCCTGGCAACCACTGCTCTGTTTTCTATCTCTATAGTTTTGCATTTTCAGAACATTATATAACAGGAATCTTATGGTGTACAGCCATTTAAATCTGGCTTCTTTCACTTGGTGTAATGTATAGGGCTTTCATCCATGCTGATGCATAGATCAGGAGTTTGATCTTTATTATATGTAGAGTTTATCCATTTACCAGGTAAACGACATAATTTGGGGTGCTTCGAGTTTTTAGCAATTGTGAATAAAGTTACTATAAAAACATGTTAATCGATCTGTATGGTGAGTGAATGATTATAACAAACTGTCAAATATTTTCCAAAGTGGTCATTCCTTTTTGCATTCCTACTAGCCATATACGAGAGCTCTAGTTGCTCCATAACCTTATGGCACTTGGTAAGTGGTGATTTTTAAAAAAATGTTGGATGTTCTAGTTGGTATATAGTGGTATCTCATTGCGGTTTTAATTTACAATTCTCTAATGACTAATGATGTATCTTTTGGTGTGTTTATTTGACATGTGAATCCCTTCTCTCATGGTGTCTGGTTAATTTTTTTGCTCATTATTATAGTTTATGACTTATCTTTTCATTCTTTTATGGTGTTTTTTGAAAAGAACTTTTAAATTTTGATGAAGCCCATATGCTTTCATTTATGGATCAAACTTTTGGTGTTGTAGCTAAGAAATATTTGCCTTACTTATGGTCACAAAGATTTTCTCCTATGTTCTCTTTTAGAAATTTTATAGAGGAGTAAACTTTTAAATAAAACAGGGTGAGAGTTATGATACATACACAGTACCATTACTAATACTAATGATCTTACATAATGTTATGACTAATATGCAAGAATATAGCTATTTCTAGTCTTCATCTTCAGCAAGATAACATCTAACATCTTATCTTTGGGATGACATCTAAGCACCACATGCAGAGTTAATCAAAAGCAGCACTTTCGGATCACCAGCTGGATAGTCACAATTGGTCAACAGTGTACAACTAGCCTACTCTTGGAGTGATATCACACTTTTAGCATGATGTATGTTATCATGTGTGATACAGAGGACCTATGGGCCATGGATAAGAGGTGATGGAAAACCTTTACGTGAATGAACCGGTCAACTGGTATAGAATATCAAAATATCTAAATTACTCCTTTAAAATTCTGCCTAAAACTTCCTTCATGTTGAAAGTAACAGTAGGATGGCATATCTTATGCAAGTGCAGTACACTAGTACACAATTCTTACTTCTTTTGCTTCCTTTGATTTGACTCGGTCCAGATCTCCCAATCTCATTTTTATTAGATGTCCTGTGATTTCAGACATTCGCCGCTGATCTGAAGGTAAAAACAGTAAATTTTACTTTTCGTGATGATGATTTATAACTTGTTATTTCTTCAAAAAGACTATAATCACCAAGGGTTTATGAAAATATCTTGATATCATTTTATAGACACAAACATCTATGTATCAGTGAAGAATTTAAGTTAGTAAGTGGCAAAATGACTTGTATGTGGATAATTGGGTTGCTTTTTCTGTCATCTTTAGAGTAAAAGTAAAGGGCAAAAGTCAATCTGACAGATCTCAAAACTACAGATGCACAAAGTGATACATTATTAACTAGAGACTGTCTAGTAATGAAATTCAGCAGAATTCATAAAGTAAAAGGCACTTTAATCATTGTTATTTATATCCAATTTGTACATTTCCCAAATAATGAAACTTACCATCTTCTCTTTGTGCATCCTGGTTGAATCTCAAGGATCTTGTGGCATCCCATTTATTCTTCTGCATACTCACGCTATTAAAAAAAATTGAACAAAAATCAGCACTGATGCTGCTTTGAGTGTGGACATCCGATTGGATTAAGGAGCAATACTCACACGAAAGGAGACACATCTCTAGAGGCTGACTAAAAAAAAGTAGACAATATTAAGGCCCAATTAGAACATATTTACTGATTAGTGTTATAGTTAATAATAAAAAGCATTCACATTTATTGAGTACAAGACATTGTACCAAGAGCATTACAAGTGTTATTTCCTTTAAACCTTGCCACAATCATGTGAGACAGGCACTCCTATTATCTCCATAATAAAACAGGTTCAAAGAAGTTAGAAATTTCTCTAAAGAGGCACAAACCTAGAATTTGAACCCAGCCTCATCTATTGACCTTAGAAAGCCAGATTATGCAAACTTTTAGAATTAACCCATTTGTGTGCCTGTGGTACTTAACATGACGATGAATGTACACCTTGTCCAGTGTTAACTGTATGGATCTTATCTCAACCCCCAACCTTTCAAACATTTTTGAAATTCATGGTTTCTCTTTTAGTTGTCTGTGGTTATTACTGTCTTCTTATTCCTACCTAGATTTTTACTCCTTCCTTCAAAGTCATGGGGAAATAAGAATCATCTTAAAAGGTCATAAAATGTAATTAATTTTTAATTTTAAAATTCTATTTATATTTTTAAAATAAGTAATATTATTCAAATTCAAAAGGTACAAACAGCACATAAAATAAAAAGCCTCTCACCTCTGTCTCCCACACATTCAGTTTTCTTCTTTACAGGCCACCAATCTTATCACTTTCTTATGAAGTTTTCCAGAGTTATTTTATGCACATACAATGAAGTTCATACATACATGTTTTTCTATCTATTTTACACAAATGGTAGTACACTATGCCACTATATACACTGTTCTTTCTGCATCTTCCCTTTTTCATTTGTCAGTGTATCTTAGATATCTTTAATCTCAGTCTATAAAGAACTGCTTCATTCATTTTTACAGTGCTAGTGTAAAATCCACTGTGTATTCATTACTCTTCTTTTTTGGATTTTTCTTGGCTATACTTGCTTATTTTTCCATATGAAAATAATAATAATAATAAAATTAGGATTATAATAGATAATTTAGAGTTACCTTCTCCAATACTTTTTCCTTCTTCTGAACACAGGGTGAAGACATCTGCTTTTTTGGTTGTTTAGTGAACTTCTTTGGCTTCTCCTTTTTCCCTGAGAATGAGAGGACAATGTTATAAGCTTATACGCCTCCAATGCACTTCCTACTTCTAAACAATAAAACCATTAAAAAATGTTTTAAGAAAACTAACAGCCAGGCACAGTGGCTCACGCCTGTAATCCCAGCACTTCGGGAGGTGGAGGCGAGAGGATTGCCTGAATCCAGGGGTTCAAAACCAGGCTGGGCAACTTGGTGAGACCTCATCTCTACAATAAGTAAAAAAAAAAAGAAAAAAATTAGCCAGGTGTGGTGGCGTGTGCCTGCGGTTCCAGCTACTTGGAAGGCTAAGGTGGAAGGATGGCCTGAGCCCAGCAAGCCAATGCTGTCGTGGCCATGAGCATGCCAGTGCACTCCAGCCTGGGTGACAGAGTGAGACTCAGACTCAAAAAAAAAAAAAAAAAAGAAAGAAAGAAAAGAAAACTAACAATTAATTTCCAGATAAAAAGTAAATATATAGCGAAATAAAGCTGAAATTGCTTTACTCGGGTTCATTTTAACCACTTTTTTTCTTTCTACCTGGTGAAAACTTTTCAGGGGAAAAGTGAGGGCAATGAATTCAAAGTATCGATAAAATCAAATATAGAAAATTACACATTTACTTTTCTGAATCTAATTTGATAGTGGAGTAATTTCCTAATTCCAAAATTTTTGTATAAAAAATAACGAGAACTCAGAAGAACACACTTTGAGAATGGGAAGAGAGAAACATTCACAAAAAAAGTTTATAAAATATCTTTTGTTAAGGCAGGATGTGATCTTAGGAAAAAGTAAATTTGGAAAGAATTATATTCTAGACTAGGGCATTCTTGAAATCAATATTCTGAATCTATTTTGGCTCATAGTTTAGTGGAATAAGAAGAGGGACAGAAAAGGAGAAAGATAAATTTCTCTGAAAACAACACATGAAGGGCAAGAACAATATCCTGGAAAACTTTTTCCAAAGATCAATTATTTGTGTAGCACCTTTACAATTTTTGATACACTCTATGTCATTTAAATGGGAAATTTCATATCACTATCATAAATGGAAAGCTTGTAAAACATGCTAGATAGACAATAGTCTTGAAGATATCATAATAAAAACAAAACAGTATTAATAATCTAGATAGATTTATTTGCCTGCTGGCATGCTTTGAACTCTTCATATATGTCTCTTTGTTTTTTAAAATGGGAGATTACTAAGTGATATAAAATTGCTAAAAGAGCCAGGTGCAGTGGCTCAAGCCTGTAATCCCAGTACTTTGGGAGGCTGAGGAGAAAGGACTGCCTGAGCTCAGGGGTTCAAGATCAGCCTGGGCAACTTGATGAGACCTCGTCTCTACAATAAATAAAAAAATAAGCCAGATATGGTAGCATGCGCCTGTAGTTCCAGCTACTTGGAAGGGTGAGGTGGAAGAATCACCTGAGGTCAGCAGGTTGAGGCTGCACTGGCCGTGAGCGTGCCACTGCACTCCAGCCTGGGCAACAGAGTGAGACTCCAACTAAAAAAAAAAAAATCACTGAAAGACTAGATAGGATGTGATATTAGATAGGAATGGCGGTGTGAAAGGTTAGACAATTCCTTCCAAAGAAATCAATTATAAAAACAGAACAATAGGCTGGGCTTGGTGGCTCAGCCTGTAATCCCAGCACTTTGGGAGATCGAGGCAAGTGGATTGCCTGAGCCTGCGAGTTCGAGACCAGCCCGGGCAACTTGGCGAGACCTCGTCTCTACGATAAATAAAAAATTACCCGGTTGTGGTAGCACACGCCTATAGTTCCAGCTACTTGGAAGGCTGAGGCAGAAGGATCGCTGGAGCCCAGCAGGTCGATGCTGGGATGGCTGTGAGTGTGCCACTGCACTCTAGCCTGGGCAACTGAATGAGACTCCAACTCAAAAACAACAATAACAACAACAAGAACAACACCAGAACAATAATATTATAAACAACCATCTGAAGGTACTAGCAAATAATCAAAAGTAGGCAACAAGTTGAGTGTGTGTGAAAGACGCATGTGGTAAGAACTATGAGTTTGTGGCTTTCTTGCCTGAATGCATTTCCCAATCTCTCTGGCTCAAGGAAAAATCGCAGCCTGTGAACTTCAGGTAGAAGATGACAGAGTTCAAGCAATAGAGAAGCTCGAAATATAAAGAAGAAATTTTTGGAAGCAAGAATGCCACAAAAGACATGAAATCTAAAATGTGAGTATAAACTCTCTCCAAATTCCTACCTGAGTGTTAACTATACAAAAGCTAAAGGAAGCCCAGGCAAAAGGCAGACAGAAACCAGGGTGGGGTGTCTACCCATGCAAGACAGAATTGCTCTTGTTGAGATGTGGGACTTTCTTATGTCTTTGGCAAATTCCTTCTCCAAACTGCACATAGCTTGAGCTTCAGACAGTTCAAGACTTACTGGCTTGAGGTGTCAGAAAACAGACTTGGGATTGGAAAAACAACTAGAAATCTAGAGGAAACTTGTAAAGCAATGGAACCACTAAGCAAGTGTGCCCTGATATCTGAATATAAATTCTGTCTAAATCTTTGGTTGACTCCTACATTACACAGGCTGATGTGACTCCTGGGGGCAGCAGCAGTTAGTGGTCAAAACACCTTGCAGAGACATCATCCACTGCACAATACAGAAGAGACAGATTTTGCAGTTTTGAGTTAGGAAAGCTAACTACTAAAACAAAACAAAACAAAAAAGCAACAACAATTCTCAGAAGAAGACAAAATAGTTTCAGAATTGCACAAGGATAACCTTCAATGTCCAGTTTTCCACCAAAAGCTATAAAATAAACTGAAAAGTGTGACTTTCTCAGAAAAGAGGCAATCATTGGAAACTAGTTCTGAGATGGCTTGCACTTTGGGTTTAGCAGACGATAACTTCCAAGCAACTATTATAAATATGTTTAGGGGAAAAATTGTATCATTGAATAAACACACAGGGAAAATCAATGGAGAAATGAAAACTATAAAAGAACCAAACAGGAATTCTAGAGCTATAAAGCACAATAATTAAAATGAAAAAATTTACTATAGGGGCTCAAGAGAAAATCTGAAATGGTAGAAGAATCAGTAAAAGGTGAAGACAGAGCATTAGGAATTATCCAAACCAAAGAACAAAGAGAAGAATGAAGAAAAAGAAACAAAATCTTAAGACCTCTTAGACAATAACAAAAGGTTTAACATATGTGTAACTGGAGTTCAAGAAAGTGAGTAAGAAAAAAAATATTTAAAGAAATAATGGAGCAACTTTCTTGTAGGTTCTCTTCTAATAGCCACAGACGCCGGGACCGGGACCGCCGCCGCCGCCGCAACCATGGGACCAAGACTGCAAACTGCTGAATAGACAGACTGTAAAGCAGAGGGAAAAGTGAACAAAACCAGAAGACCCTCATAAGGAAGAACAGGTCATTGCAGAAGAGAAATAAAAGCAACCCCACCTTCCCTCAAAAACAGAATTGAAGAGGGGGAGGGAAAGGGGTAAAGGGAGAAAAATCTACAGAAATGAAGAAAAACCAAAAGAAGAGCATGGGTCTCTCCCAGACGCCTGGAAGAGCAGACACTGAGAAAATTGACTTTGGAATACAAACAATGAAAAGTCCCCAGAATGAAGGGTCTCAAAATGCAAATGTAGATATCAAAACAATAATGGAGAGATTAAAAAGAATTGAGGAGACACAAGAAGAAACTAGGAAGGAGCTGATATCTGAGATAACAGTAATAAAGAATACTGTGAATGAAATAAATAACAAATTGATAAGCATGGAAAGCAGAATTACCCAAGCAGAAGAAAGAATCTCAGAGCTTGAGGACCAAAATATAGAAATAACCCAAACTCTTAAAAACACAGAAAATAAGCTAAAAAAGACAGAACAAAACCTTCAAGAGATGAGTGACTACCTCAAGAGGCCTAACCTAAGAATAATCGGACTCCCTGAGGCAGAAAGAGAAACAGAGACCACATTGGAACAAACTTTCCACGAGATCATTCAAGAAAATTTCCCTCATCTAATCAGTGATACAAAAATTCAAACACAAGAGATTCAGAGAACCCCCGCAAGACAACAAATGAGAAGACCAACTCCTAGACACATAATAATTCGCCTAAATAAAGTAGGCACAAAAGAAAAAATCCTAAAGGCAGCAAGAGAAAAAGGCCAGATCACCCACCATGGAAGACCAATCAGAATAGCAGCAGATTTATCTGCAGAAACCCTGCAGGCTAGGAGAGCTTGGAGCCCTATCTTCAAAGTCCTAAAGGATAAACAATTTCAACCAAGAATAACCTACCCAGCCAAGCTAAGCTTCATCAGTGAGGGAGAATTAAAATCTTTCCCAGATATCCAATCCCTAAGAACTTATGCAGCCACAAAACCATCTCTACATGAAACACTTAAGAAAGTACTAAACACAGAAGAAAAGGAAAAAAGAACAACGTTCTTCACAAGAGTACAGGGAAAAGAATAAAATATACACGAACCAACCCCAAAAGCAAAAGAAAGACAAAAAAAAAAAAGAAAAAGAAAAAAGAAAAAACCAAGTGGAAGAACAACAACTCAATAAGAACTCCATGATAGGGACGAACTCTCACATTCAATAATTAGTCTGCGTGTGAATGAACAAAACGCACCACTGAAAAGACCTAGAATGACAAAATGGATAAAATATCACCCAGCAGCAATATACTACCTTCAAGAGACCCATCTCACTAGAAAGGACATACACAGACTCAAAGTAAGAGGATGGGAAACAAATTTTAAGGCGAATGGAACACAAAAGAAAGGAGGAGTTGCAATCTGAATTTCACACAAAATACCATTTAAGCTATCAAAAATTAAAAAAGATACAGAGGGCCACTACATAATGATAAAAGGTTCACTCCATCACAAGAAATATCTATCCTCAACATATATGCACCCAACATAGGCGCACCAACATTCATAAAGCAACTTCTAGGAAAACTAAAGAAAGACATTGACTCTAACACCATAATAACTGGGGACTTTA